GGGGGCGGCGCGAGGCCCGCCGACCCCCCCGGGACCCGCAGCTTCGCCGCTTGGCCGCCGGCGCGGCCCGGAGGCCCGAACCATGGAATCCGAGGAGGAGCAGCACATGACCACGCTGCTGTGCATGGGCTTCGCGGACCCCGCCGCCATCCGCAAGGCCCTGCGCTTGGCCAAGAACGACATCAACGAGGCCGTGGCGCTGCTCACCAACGAGCGGCCCGGCCTGGAGTACGGCGGCTATGAGCCCATGGACAGCGGCGGCGGCCCCAGTCCGGGGCCTGGCGGGGGTCCGCGGGGCGACGGCGGAGGCGACGGCAGCAGCGGCCCCTCCCGCGGCGGAAGCACCGGAGGCGGGGGCGGCTTTGACCCCCCGCCCGCCTACCACGAGGTGGTGGACGCGGAGGTGAGGAGGGGCACACTGACCCTGGCGGCGGAGGCCGCTGGGCGAGTTCGCACGAAGGGGACACACCCCACTGGGCGCTGAAGGGGGCGAGAGCTCTGCGCAGGTCGGCGAGGGGAGCAGTATGCCCCCTTCAGGGTCGGAGGTTACGAGACAGGGGTCACGTGGGGGTCGTCTGCACCCCCTGTCCCGCCGCGCACCCTGTTGGGGGCGTCTAGAGAGGTCGTGGAGAGGGCCCGGGAGATCCGGGAAGACAAACGCCTTAACCTGGAGCGTGTGAGGTGGAGAGGAGACGCAGGTGTCAGGGACTCAGCTGGGCTGTAGCCGACCGGGCTGATGTCAGAGATTGTGACACTAGGTTTCTCTGAAGACCTGGAGGAGACACCAGGTTCAGAATCAGGAAGCGAGGGATGGGCCAGCTAGAGTGGTGGCATTCTAGAGGATTGAATTAGAAAGACGAGAGGGAGATGGGGCCAGATCTAAAAAGAAGAGAGTCTGAGCAGAAGCCAGGAGTGATAGGAACTGTTACAGGGTGGGAGAAGTTCAGGTTTTGGGGGACCGGGCTTTAACAAAACCCAGAAAACCAAACCCAGCTCACGGAGGCTGGTTTGGTACCAGCGATCTCCCATCGGTTTGTGAAGCTGTAAATCTTAAGGAGAGCAAACTGCCTGGTCTTGTTTTTCCAAAAGGACTGGTAGGCTCAGACTGATGGGCCTTTGAATCCACAGTCCAGCATTTACTGCACCACCAGGGTTTCCAGCCCAGGTGTTAAAGCGGTGGGAGTTGGACCGAGAGAGAGAAGGGCAGGAGGAGAGGAGGGACTGGCCTTTGCTGGGGTTTGTGGAGTACTCCTCATGGATACAAGGTTAAGAATGAGGGAGAAAGGAATGAAATAAAGTCACACAAATGTTTTGGGTTCCCCTATAAAAGTTATGTTTACATCGCTCTGTGGTCTAGTAAGTGTGCAGTAGGGTTAGGAAAAAGTCTGAAATACTACAAGAATTACCAGAATGTACTATTGGAAAAATGGTGTTGAGTTGCCAGTTTCGGGGAGGTGGGGAGAGAGGAACTTTCATTATCTGCAAAGCACAATAAAATGAAGTACGTTTGTATGTTCTGGGCACGATATACTGAGAGGTATGGCGAACAGGATCTAAGATAAAGTGGATAAGGAGTCTCTTGAGAAAGGGTGGTCCAGACTTTACCAACTCCTTTGTAGGTAGAAAACCATAAGCCTATTTCATTTGTAATATAAGCAGATAATTTCAGAGGAAAACACTTTTACTACAATAATAAAAATTGACTGAAGAAGCAGTATGCTTGTGGAGAATTACTTTGCAGAAAAATGTCAGCTTGTGGTAAGAATTTTGCTCTACTTGGCCTGATCACAGAGTAGCACAGATCTCAGATAAACTGGTTTATGTTTTTAAATAGACAGGCATTTGGATAATTCTTGATAAATGTAATCTTTCTGAAGAATAAATGTTACACTTTTACAGCAGTGACTGGAAAAAATAGTGTGAGAAAGATGTCACTTCAAAAATAAAAAGGTACCTTTACAATATTTCTTTAGTCACGAGACTTTCATACACTTGGTAAAATTGTTGATACTCAATAAATCAGCTATATCATCGAGATTATTATTCCTAGTATTTGACTTCTCCCCTCATGCCCTACATGAGTAAGTTACTGTATTCTGTAAATGATTGCTCTTGTACAAAATGGGAAGCTTCTGATCCATCCGGGAGCTCCCTAGAAGAAAGATAATCAACTGAAACACCAGCTCCTGAGAACCCTGCAGAACACAGCCCTGCATTGACACAGGGGCACTCATGAGTTGGGACTGACTCCTTGGCACATCTTGTATATATATGAATTTCAGTCACTTTAAGAAAAGATACTCTTTCTCCTCCCCTTCACTCCTCCCACTTTGCTCCTTCTTTTGACTGAGTTTTGACATCAAGAGGAAAACTGTGCCTTTTTCTCAGGTTCTTGTATAATTCTACAAAATTCAATGTACTTTATTACAGTAGAAATTTTATCCTTTGGGCTTTTAAAAATCATCTCTTAATTCCTTAGGATTGGCGAAGATCAAATGATAGTGCTTGGGCTAACATTGAAATGATTTGGAATGGCTTCTTTGAAGCAGATGACTGAGAAGTTTCCTTTCAGGTCAAATCGTAGCATCAGTAGCTTTTTGAAGAAATATGTACAATTTCCATTCATTTCCTCTTGATCTGTGAATTTCACATAGTCCCCTATGTGGCACCATTTACTTTTGACAGTTCAAGAAGTTCTAGTGACTGAGGCTGTTGGATCCATGAACCATATTGGCAGGAATTTAAAATGATAGTTTTGCTGGCAAAGTGCCTGTTGCGGTGCAGTGGCATCTGACCTCATGTCTAATTTCACAAGGGTGAGGGAGAATCACCATGAACAGCCCAAGCCTGATTCCTATGAGTTACAAGTCAAATACACTCAGTCTTGCCAACCATTTTACCAGTTTCGATACTATCTTTCCTTCCAATGTACTCTCCACCTCAAGTGAGTCAACAATTCATTACAGTGGCTACACAGAATTTACCAACCATACACATTGTTGCAAGATTTATTAGGGAAGTAACAGATTATAATTTGGGATCAAAATTAAGAAGCATGTAGGCAAAATCAGCATTTAGTAATAGAACAATTCTGTCAGCTCCTTTGAACTTAACTGAGGGCAGGCTCCTCTCTTGGCCCTTTGCCTTGCCCTACCTTGTATGGGCAAGTGTTTCAAAGCTCTCTTGCTCCACAGGTAATTGCACTCCAGGCCACCAGGAAACCTACCTGAAGGAACTCTCACACCATAGCTTGATGTGCATACCTTGAACTTAGTAAGCCCACCACACTATCTCACAGCACCTTTCAGTGACCCTCTGGTTCTCTGTGCTTCTGTTGCACTGCAGTCACTTCTTGCTGTCTCACACGATCTTGTTGTTCTGTACCTTAGAGTCAGAACCACCCATAAATGACCCTCTAGTGGCTTTTCAGAGGCAGTTAATCACACAGGAGGAGATTGCCCATCCTTCTCCTGCAGAGTTGGTGGCCTTGAATGTGAGCCTTTGGGATCACAGTGCAGCTTCTAGCCACTAGGACACCAGAGTTCCCTACTCTCTTCGATGGTGCAGTTATGTCTTCTGGATCGAGGATCTTTTCAGCACAGAGACCCTGAGTTCAAAGTACATACTCCACTCTTGGCTTTGTTCCTGATGACAGTGAGGTTCTTCCCTCTGCCCTGGGATTGCTCTTTTAGAACCAGCACATCCTTTTTAGTGTTCCATATTGTAGCTTAGCGGTAAGGCATTAGGCTGCCAGCCCAAAAAGGCACGTAGTTCAGATCTACCAGCTGCTCTGTAGGAGAAAAAAGGCAGTTTTCTCCTGTGAAAAAACCCTCTGAAAACCCACTGGAGGGTCAGGTTTAGGTTGTTTCTGACTCAAGGGTACTTAACAATAACCTCAAGAACCCCCATAGGGGTTTCTTGTCTCTTATTTACATTCTTAGGCTATCTAATCCCCTTCCTGGGCCACTAATAATTTATTTACATAGCTCCACCCATCACTAAGAATACAAGACTGTGCTTGTAGCTAAAAGGGCCATTTTAAGGAATTGGCTCCCCCACAACATTTACCCCAATTTTTGCCGCTGTGGTTTTAAAAATCCTGGTTACTACCTATGCAGTGGTTTTCCATCTTTACTGTGAACTTTTGATTTTGAGGAATTAAGATAGATCCTCATTATTGTTGGACATCTCCAGTGGGTCAGTCACTAAAATAAAGTCTGAAATGCATGATATATTTTAATTTTCAAAGATAAGTAACAGCATCCCCATTTTAGCAGGGATAACATTGAACTCAGGCTCCTCTCCCTTGGCTTCAAACCACTGCTATGCATTCCATTCTGCTCGTGGCTTTAGGATGGGCCATATATTCCTTTGAAAGCAGTATAGCTAGAAAAGAGAACAAAGGGGAAAGATAAAACTGAATCAAGGCTTCAGGAATAGGGTGATATTTAAAACATACATGTTTAAGACAGAAGACATATAGCTCCTTAATTGTTATAGGAATGCAGCTTGTAGGCTCCAAAGGAAAGTTTTTTTGAGACCTAGTTAATGGAAGAGATGTGGCTAAAATGCATGTCCTCTCATCCTGAGGCCAGTACGCTTTCTCCATCCCAGCTTTTGGTCTCTGAAAGAAAAAGAGACTGTTGTTTTGCTACTGTGTTATGGAACCTACTCATAGCTTATCCTTCAGCAGGTTTGCAGAAGCAGTAAATCACAAGGGAGGAGATTGTCAGTCTTTCTCCCATAGAGTAGCTGATGAATTTGAACCATGAGCTTTGGGGTTGGCAGTGCAGTTCCTTGCCAGTAGGCCATCAGAAGGGATAAGGAAACAGGAAGAATAAAAGAACAAGGTGGAACTTTTCAGTATTATATAACACACCTTTCTGTTTCTAAAATATATGATTACTTAATTTTAAATTTTATAAATTTCTGTTTGCCACATAAGGAGTATCTGTTTCAATGTCGTCTAAGAAATAATGTCCAGGATTACATAGATAAAAATTAACAAATTAAAAAGGAAAAATGATTAGGTATATTTTCTTTGTCGTTTTGGAACAAGACTGATTCTCTGACTGGGTATACATTCAGTGTTATCTCTGTCCCAGGGTCTGAATTGGTCAGAACATGGCCATTACATTCTAGTAGATTCTAGGCCAGGCCTCTCATTTTACAAGCCGTGACTTCCCAAGGTCATGTAGCTAGTTAGGTAAATTAGTTTAGTAATTTGGGGCTGTGCTATAATTAGGATTTGGTTTAAAAATTAAAATTTGGAAAGTAAAAGTAGTTAGTTTTCTGGTTCAGTAGAAACAAGGATATTACAGATAAAAAAAGACCTAGATATCTAGCAGAAAACAGAACTGCAGAGAAAACCACCATTTTAACATCCTCTGGTGAGATACAGCT